AAAAAAAAAATGACTCTAATCCCATTATCTTCACTTACTTGTATTTGGTTCCGTTGTTTCCGGAAAGAATTCACGCTTCACAGGCTGCATATAGCTGGGCGTCGTCGGCGCCGAGACCGAACCGCCAGCGCCCCCATTCGGCTGATACTTCTGTCCCATGGCCACCTGCGCTGCTTGGCTCTGCGACCACGAATTCACAAAGCTGTTGGTAATCTGCTGCGACAAACTCTGCGGCATGTCCTTTAGAATGGGTGTGGTCGGCGGACTGGCGCCATAGTGCGCGGCCACCACGGCTGCTGCGGCGCCACTCTTAGCCAAGCTATTGGCCGCTGCCAAGTCTGCGTAACTGCCCTCTTCATCGGAATCGGACTGATTGCTGCTAGCGCCAGTACTGGCCGTCGTCGCATGGTGCGCAGAGTAGCCGTTGCCAGCGCTCATGGTCACCGAGATGGCGGGTGGCACAAGGTTGCCGCTTACGCTCATAGCGTTGCTATTGCTGGCACCCAACCCACCAGCGCCACTATTGCTGCTTCCACTGCTGGTGCTACTACTGCTGCTGCTGCTTGTGCTCACCGAAGACGAAGAAGCGACAGCGGCGGCCGCGGCGGCAGCTGCTGCTGCTGCAGCCAAATTTTGTTCTTGACTCTGTGGCGGGCTGCTGGCTTGCGAATCCACCGATGGTGGCGGGCTGAGTGTGACCGAATTGGGCGCCATGAAGTGATGCATGTGCGCATTATGGAAGGGACTGTCTGGCGGCGCGCCGATGGGCGGCCAAGTTGGCGTCGGCGGATGGCTATGCGGCGAGAGCGGGTAGCGGCTGGTAGGTGTGACGGGACTGTTAGGCAAGTGCCATTGCATCATGTGCGACTCGATGATGAGCATTTGCAGTACGTTGTGCAGCACATCGCCTGCGCCCGGACAACGGTGACCGAAGTCGGCGCGTGTGAGTAGACAAAGCGCTTTGCCGTTCATTTGGAAGAGATCATGATCCACTTTGGGCAAGTCGAATTCGCGCTCGCAGAAACGCAAAAACACTGTGACATCTTCGCGACCCCACAAACGTGGATCGGATGGCAATGATGGCGGTAGTTGTGTCTTCAATTCGGCCAATTGGCTTGAGGGCGCCGGTGGGCAACGCCACAACATATCACTCCAGAGGCCGAGCGGCGGATTCAACGACAGCTGTACGGGAAGCATTTTCATTTTGAACCACCAGACGCGCGTGCACGATTTTAATTGTTTGTGTTGACCAACGCCACACGGAAATACGACTTCTGTTGCTCTACTGGGTCGCTGGGTCGACCACAGGCAGCACACAGCACACTGCTGCTAAACAAGTCGCGCGCAAGCTAGCTAGCTGTACGATGAACGAACGAGCGTACGAACTGAATCTGGAAAGAGGAGAGAGAGAGAAAAAAAAGTTAGCAAACAAATATTATTAACATGAGATACAGTTTACGAAATCGATATTCGAGACTACTGACTAACTGCGGCTATACAAAACCAAATCAAAAATAATAATAAAGAAAAAGTCGCGGAACTAACGGGGCGAAAGGGTGCAGCAGAAGCAGGCAGCAGGCAGCAATTCACTTGGCGTGTGGGTGTATTCGAATGCACACTTCCGCTTGGGAATTCGTTCGCGGCGTATTGAAGTCGAAAATCGACAACGAAATATGTAAATGCAAATCGTTTTGTGGTGATTTCGACATACACACGCACATTCATACATACATAAAGAAACTCATAATAAAAGAAGACAAATAAACAAACACATCCGCTGACGAAGTACCGCTGTTTCTTGCGGACGTGTATCCATACAGCTGTGCGACGTACGCCCGCTAAAAACGGGTTGCAGCAAAACGCGCAACGCTGCGCCCAACCCACACACAGCATCTTCAGTGGCGCACAGCAACAGCAGTAGCATCGACAGCGCACATTGAAGTTGTGTATGTATGCGCAGCTGTAGGCTGTCTGAGACGTTGTTGCTTGGGTTCCGCACGACGCGCGAGCTGTGGATGAGCACGCAAAATGCGCAAAAGCACAACAATAATACAGTACAGCAAAGACGCAACAACGCAAAACACCTTTTACAGCGTTCGCGCCTCCAAAAGCAGCAATTTCTTGTTTATGAAAACCGATTTCGATATTTCATGTTTTAATCGCGCAATATGTTAATTTTTTTTCCAAAAAATTTCGCTGGTCGGTGATGAGTTGTGGTGCGGCGGCGGTGAGGTGAGAAGACATACGTTCGCAATTGTAATGTGCCGGATGCGCGCACACAGGAAAGCAAGCACATCGCCAAGATTTGCTCGTGGCATAGTGGTATTATGCAGATAAAAATGCGGATGGTATAAACATACTTAATTTAATAAACTGCTTTGGTATGCTTTTACTACTTTAGTGTATGGAGTCTAGACAGCAAAGAAGACCAAAATGATTTATGAGCAGCCTTTTCAAGGCAGAAATGCATGCGGAGGTTTTGTCGTTGCCTGCCGAGGGCGATCGCTGTTAGAGAAATCGTTTCTCGCGCCTGGGATGGAACCGAGGTCCTGCGGAGTAGTAGTACGTACCTCTAACCACTTAGCCATAGCGGCCGATATATCAGAACTCTTAAATTGTTGGAAACGAATGGGCAAACTTGGCAATGTAGTAATTCGATTGGATAGATTGGTTGGATTGGAAGCAATGTCGAAGTGTAGTGCTTGCGGCTCTGCTACCTAATCTAACCTGGTCTGACAAAATCGGGAACATTTTAGCTTAACCCATTAGGTAACTGGCTGTTAACTGGAAACTAGTTAACCGACGACACTCAAACCAAGCGGCTAAACAGATGCGAGTTAAGCAAATGGAGAATGAAATGAAATAAAGCGAAAAAACTCGAGATAGGTATGCTACAATATCAGCATCGAACCCTTTTACTGGCTTCAAATTAGCTGGTTCGTATTTACTGCGTACAAAGTTGGATTGCCGGACTTGACGTACATACAAGGTTGTAATGTTTTAATGTCTTGAAATCAGTTTTCATTAACTGCGCATAAGTTGCCGATTTACCGGACTTGACGTACATAAAAGTTGAATGATGACAGGAGCTCAACCTACAAAATCAGCTGTTTCATTAGCTGCGCATAAGTCATTGCCTTGCCGGACTTGACGTATACAAAAGTTAAACGATGTTCAACTTTTTTCTGTTGCGTCAACCTACTTATGATGTTTCCAGACAATTTCATTAAGATATTTATAGCGGACGGACCTTTTTAATAGACGAAACGGATTAGTTTTGCCTCATAAAAGAGTTTACGGTGTTTATTTTAACTTTTTGATGAGCAAGGACCGAATATTTAAATAAACGAGATCACTTCTAGATGAGGCGGGTATGAATTTCAAGTGCTCGAAGCAATAAGAAGTTAAACTTAGAAACTGGCAATTCTGCTTTATTTTGTAACTCATGAAAAGCAGGAAACCGAGATCTTTACCATGATATCCAGTTTTCGGTTTAACACATCCACATTTGTAGCACACTTTTCTAAATGGCCTTGGCCAAGTTTTGATATTTTTTAATCTCACTAATTCCACTAAATCACCTTTCTCACCCACTGTGTGTCACTGTCTGTTCCGTCGCGCCGTCGAACTTATGGCACACATGGAAGTTTCCACATTAAATAAAAAAAAAAAAACGCTGAATCGCGAAATTGTAGGATGCGAAAAGATGACGAAAAAATGCAAGATGTTGCCGCTGTCGATACTACGACTAGTACTAAGTATTGCTGCTGCCTCACTACCAACAACAATAACAATCAAAGCACAACTGATTGCGGCTATTAAGATCTCGCTACCTTGCGAAACTTAACTCCACAACAAATGTTCCAACGTCCGACATTGCTGTTGCTGCTGCTGCTGATGTCGCAGTCGCCGTTGTCGACAACGGCAATGCAAACTAACCCAGACGCCACAAACGGAAGTGTGCATACCAAGCAAAATGACAGCAGCAACAACAACAACGAACGACAACTACAACTACAAACATTGGCGGCACGAAAAAATAAGAAAAAAAAGAATCGAAAAAATAAAACTTGTTTCACACAATGCAACCGCAATCGGCCAACAGCAAAGGCTAATCTGTGTTTGTTTGTTTGTCGGTATGTCTGCCTACATGCAATGGGACAGGCCAAACGGCTGGATAGCAGATGCGCTCGGTCGGCAAGCAGCGAGTAGAGGAAGACCGATCGTATCCGCTAGTGGGTAAACAGAGCACGGATAAGATATGAGTGTCGAACAAGCAAGTAAGCAGCCAGCCAGCCAGCCAGGCAGGCAGGCAAGTAGATTGTGGCAGCAGCGGCGGCAGTCGGCTGCGAATGGATGGAGAATTGGGTATGTTTATGAGAAGCGGTTCGGAACGGAAAATGCTACGAATATGATAACCACATAGTACAATCAACGAAGCAGTCAAATAACTACATGCTGCAAGCACCCTGTATAGAGCTTACGGCTTTCTTCATACATACATATATTGTATACTTATTAAGCAAATAAAACAAAAAAAAAAAAAATTATGCACACACACAGAGCTAACCACTTATAATTCTCGGCTGCTCTTATGACAGATTGTTTATATTTTTTCTTGCTTATTTATCGAATCTTTTTCGCTTCCTCGTTCCTCGAATGAGCGCACAAGAAACATACAAGTGTACACAGATAGGGAAAAGATATTTTTACTTCGAGGGTGCTGTGTATTTGTGTAAAGTACGAACGATCGTTTGTTGTCTGTCTGTCCGTCCATCCATAAGTCCGTCCGTCCGTCCGTCCGTCCGTCTACTCTTACATTGCGTCCCACATAGCCAGAGCTCATCTATCCATACGTTCGTTCGTTCGTTCGTACGGTCGTTTGTTCATTGGTTTGCTTGTTCTTCGTCTCACTCGTCGAAGTCGTCTTTCCATTGCATACTCAACAACTCTCTAGCTCACCCGCTAACTTGGTAAAGTGTTCCTGTAGTGGCTTCTCTTTATTGTTGTGTTCTTAATACACATAATTGTATGTAGCTGCTGTAGATAATATGGATGGCTGATGGTTGGAATGTGGTCGGTGTGCTGCTTCAGTTGCTGCAACCACTGTTGTTGTTGTTCTTGTTGTTATTGTTGTCGTTGCTGCTGTGGTTTTGATTGCTACGAAAAGTGCACTGTCTTCGATTTCCAAAGAAGCTACATACATAGCAATAAAGCAAGCCGGACGAAAGCCGGATGCGCGCTGGATGAGAAAAATAAATGAGGGCATTCAGTGAGGGGAATCTTAACAGACGATGTATGGATGGACCAAACGGCGAACAGACCGACGAATGCGATCCTCAGTTCGACATAAGAAGAAGCATACATACATAGCTCTAGTCTTTGAAGATAATTCAGTTCGCTACTTCAGATGTTGGACATTTCGAAGTTATAGAAAAGAGTCTACATAGTCGTTATAAATTAGGCGAAATCTGCCTTAAAACAAACTCCGGTATTGGCTCGACTAATCTAGATTGTCTTGATCAGTAGGTTTCATCTCGACGAAGAACTATAAACCTTCAGTAAACAAACTAATTGCTTTCATCTCTAAGGGAACTTTCCACTTCAGCATCGACCAAACCAAATGGTTCACCTTTAGCTTTAAGAGTCTCTCAATAGCACAAACTGCACGTGGTTCCCAAATAAACGAAGTCGTCTACTTTTTCAAACTTGTAACTGTCGTAAAAGTGACGTGGGTGCCAAGACGCGTATGCTCTGACTGTTTGTGTGATGACAGGAGATACTTCGTTTTGTCCTCGTTCACCACCAGACCCATTCGCTTTGCTTCTCTATCCAATCCCGAGAAGGCAGAACAGACGTAGCCCTTGTTTTTATCGATACCAATGTCGTCGGCATACGCCAGGAATTGTACGCTCTTGTAAAGTATTGTGCCTGAGCGGTTCAGGTCTGCGGCTCTTACTATCTTCTCTGACATCATATTAAAGAGATCACACGAGAGGGAGTCACCTTGCCTGAAACCTCTTTTTCTATCAAACGGCTCGGAGAGGTGCTTCCCTATTCTGAAGGAGCTGGTGGTATTGCTCAACGTTATTTTACGCAGTCGTATTTGATTTGCGGGGATACCAAATTCGGACATCGCGGCATAAAGACAACTTCTCTTCTTGTGGCTTTGAAATCGACAAATAGATGGTGTGTGTCGATCCTAATCTCGCGGGTCTTTTCCAAGGTTTTGCGTATGTGAATACCTGATCTATGGTGGATTTGCTAGGCCTAAAGCCACACTGATAAGGTCCAATCAGTTCGTTGACGGTGGGCTTCGGTCTTTCGCACAATACACTCGATAATACCTTATAACCTATGCTTAGAAGGCTGATTCCGCGGTAGTTGGCGCGAATGGCGGGATCGCCTTTCTTGTCGATTGTGCAGAGCACACTTAAATTCCAGTCGTCGGGCATGCGTTCATCTGAACATATTCTGCATAAGAGTTGATGCATACACCTTATCAACTTCTCGCCACAATACTTTAATAGCTCAGCGGGCAGGCTGTCAGCTCCAGCAGCTTTGTTGTTTTTCAAGCGCGCTATCGCTATTCGTACCTCGTAATAGCCAGGTGGTGGAACAACGACTCCATCGTCATCGACTGGGGGCTCGATCGCAGCGTGGCCCTATAGGCGGCGTATTTTTTCTCTGCGGCTTATTGACATTCCTCATCGTACCAGCTGTTCTTTCGGGCTCGCTGAAATCCAACTACTTCTTCGGCGGCGGTACTTAATGATCGAGAAATGTGGTTCCACTGCTCGCATATGTCGAATTGTTGAAGAGTGGTCTCAGAGAGCATGTGTGTGAGTCGAGAGCTTTCCTTGCATTGTTGGGCGCACATTTTTTACTGCACAGAGGCGGGTGCGTATCTTGGCTAAAACAAGTGCACCACACTCTACAGATAAGTATTAATCAAGAATGCAACTGCTGAAACTGGTGCTTAAACACGGTAGACCATCCACCCTGAACTCTTTTCTAAAACTGTTCGCTTCTTAGACTAACTGGAAGACTATCAATGGCTTTGAAGGAAAGCTTTAAAGTTAAGAGAACGAAGGTATTTAATTGCCTACGCTGATGACTTGGCTATACTAATTGCCGATAAATTCTTGCCAACGATTTTATTTGTGATGTATTTGTTATTTTATCATTTATTACACAAGAAATAAGGTGGTCAGTCTAGATAAGTTGAGAAAAATAATTAATATAAGAAATAATACTACTCCTTAAGGCAGTAGGAATCGAGTTCCATGTACGTATAGTGTTCACAAAAGACAATCTAGTCGAGGCTACAGAGTTAAAGCTGGCGAAAATTTAATCGTATAATCGGGACGATTTTGTAAGTTTAAGCTTCTCATAAAGATATGAAGGCCTTTTAGTTAGCATAAGCTGATAAAGAAAGACATAGCTTCTGGCTTCAATGTAGTTCAGGATTTGATAGCCCAACAGATCGTTTTTCCACTGAGATATGTGGTCAAAGTTACGTAAGACATGCGCATACCGAGTGATATAATTCAAAACGACGTCAACCTAATGAGCAGACTGTGAATCTAGTCTATTGTAAATGAGTGCAGAGTACGTAAAATAAGGTAGCAGTAATTGGATGGCAAGCTTACGTCTGACGTTAACAGGGGTAAACAACAACGAATGTCTTAAACTACTTAGCGCGCAATAAGCCTTACCTATTACCATATTTTTGTATATGATCAACACATGTTCAATTCCAGTTGATTACAAAGACTAGGTTAGTAATTTAACTTACAAAAACAATTGGTTTGGCACCTACGTAAATGGATGGAATGTTGTTTACAACCAACCTTCATTTAGAGATAGGCAGTACATACGTTTTATTTGGATTTATCTTATCCCAGATATCATCAACATTTTCGAAATAACTTGACAAGTAAAGCTGGACATCGTCTGCATGCAAGCATGCATACTAACAAATTTACACACCGCAAATATGTCATTAAGAAATAGGGTAAATAATATAGGTCCACGAATAATATATGGTACACTAAAAACTAGTTTGGGCTAGGAAGGGCTAAGACGAGAAAACGAAAGTTCCCTTTACCACAGCTAGATGCGATTGAAATGTATCTTTCATCCGAGGCGAAGTACTGAGGCATTATCTCTAAACTTACGAGGAGGCGCAACGTAGAGGAGAGAGCAAAGGAAGGCCCAGCAGCAAACTATACCTGTAATATAAGGCTTATGAGAAAAACTCGGAGCTGCCCCCGCATATAAATCAAGGGTATTTACACCAGTTATCTGACTGGTTTTAACCTATGGTCCAGTGGAAAGCAGCAATCAGAAAATCGGGTCTGTACTCCAGGGACCTTCTGATATGGCTATCATATCGCCTATCTGATAGCTGCACTGTGTTTCAGGCGGAGAGCTTTGCAATAGAGAAGGCAGCTTGTCTGGTACAGGATAGGAAATCTCTGTCGGAAAACGTCACTATAATCATTTATAGCCACACGGCAATAAAAAATTTAGGTAGTTAAGTCGAAAGTGGTTCGAAAATGTCGCGCATTGC